CCCCCCCCCCGGGGAACGACTGGGCGCACCAGTGCGATCGGAAATATTTTTAAGGAGCACTTTTAAAAAACAAGTTCGCATTTGCGACCAAATTAGTCGCACTCTAGAGCCCTGTGTATGGAGAGTTAGCTCAGATACATGTGCAAGAAAAGAGACAAATTGGCAGCTTTTATCCACAACGGCCGACTTCCTGTGGAGATTGAACCATGACTCCAAGAGACTTTTCTGTAGGTCCTGAGACATTACACGTGTACCATATTTAATAGTTCTAGGTCCAACATGGCTTGGTGCTAACTTTCAATTTATTATCTGTGTTCTGTTGCTGAGGGTCAGAGATGAAGCTTTCCAAGCTAAAAAAAAAAAGGTCACTTCCTGTTGTCAGGTGGTGGACCTTAGATTATGTCATATGACCGCATGGTATAGACGGGCATGCAGCATGGATGATTCATACCAAATTTGGTGTATTTTAACCTTTCTTTGTGAAAGCTACAGCTTTCTGAAAATGTAACGGACGGATGGAGAGCATTTCTAAGTCCCCCGCCTCGGTGACGGGGAACAAAAAAGCAAAATGTTAGAAGCTAAAATTAGTAAATGCAACAAAATGTTAGTTGGAAGCTAAAAGTAACAAAAAGCTGGTAAAGGCAAAAAGAATCAAAAGTTTAGCTAGAAGCTAAAAGCAACAGAAAGCTAGTTAAAAACTAAATTACAAAATGCATTGCTATAAAGTTTACAGAATCAAATAAACCAGCTAAAGGCTGAATATTAGAATGATACTTAGTAGCAAAAGTTTACTTAAATGATAAAAGTAACAATAAAGCTATTTAAAGGCTAAGAAGACAACAGAGCACAGCACAATCCACCTGGAAGAGAAATATTCCTATATATCTTGGGCTAAAACAGCACAAAGTAAGAAAAACGCAGATCGGAAAAACGTGGAAAAGTAAAAACCAGTTTAAAAAAACAGTGATTTCTGACTCCACACACTTTTTTCACAGACTTACTTTTCACCAGCTTTCACAAAATCCTTGAGAGACACCCCTCTGTTTGTCACTGTAGCCTTTCCACCCAGACCTACAATCAGGGCAGTGAGGATGGCACTTTTCCCACCTGAAACACCAAACAGAGGGAAGCACAGATATGCACTGATTCACTGCTGGACACAAGAGAAGTATGTAAACATTCACAAATCATCAATAAATCAGAGCAGCTCCTGTATTACTGTTGCAGTAAAAACATAGCCTAGTTTTCTTCCTGACAGGACAGCTGGGTTGTTTTAAAACATACAAAACTAAAGTACAAGTAACCAGATTCTGCACTGAAAATCAACATTTTTCTTACTAACCAATTATTTTTCAAATTAACTAATAGCATTATATCCAGGTTGCTTTTATAAAACCAAAGTCATTTAATTTTCTGTTTTTTTAAACAGTTTTATTGGGTAAACAACAGTGTCGTAATTTTTCCTTAAAAAATACTAGATACCACATATAGCGGTAACATACAGCAGGTAAAATACGTATTGAACACATCACCATTTTTCTCAGTAAATATATTACTAGAGGTGCTAATGACATGAAATTTTCACCAGATGTTGGTAAGAAATGAAGTTATTTGTATAGTGGGTAAAATACGTATTGAACACATCACCATTTTTCTCAGTAAATATATTACTAGAGGTGCTAATGACATGAAATTTTCACCAGATAATGTCCAGAAATGAAGTTATTTGTAATAATGTGGAATGGCACAGGGAAAAAGTATTGAACACATGCAGAAAGGGAGGTGTAAAAAGGCATGGAAAGCCAA